GCCAAGGAAGAAGAATATGCCTGTGAAAGTCACTGTCCAGTTAGCACTCAATAGCAGATGTGGAAGTTCGGGGAAAAACAGGGCACAGAAGATACACCAAGGAAAGGGTGTTTAGGGCAGTGAAAAACACAAGAATCAAAACTGCAGAAGAGTGTAGGGGGGAAACAGGTAAAAAAATGTCAAAGCTGTGGTTTTATGTCACACATCTAAGACACTTTTGGATAGTGAAAAAACTTAGGGTAAAGAGAATAAAGAGCAAAATGCAAATAGAGAGGGAGACCACAAGGCTGTTTGCCTCATTTTGATAAATGTTAAGACTGAGTTTGAGTCCATACAGTGTCTGATCATGTCAGTGAAGCTGCAATAGGTTAAAGGTTTAAGTTACTGTAGTTGTCACTCACCACCCCATGCCAGAAGCAATATAGATTTAGCAGTACCTCCTGTGCAGCCTTTTCAGCTGAGCAGTTCAGAGGATGCTTGGCACACTAGAGATTTAGAAAACAACTGAAAACTTTCTTTTCTTCCAATAAGTGTGTGAAACTCTTTGAATTTGCATTTGATGGCAGGATGTCTCGGGGACGAATCAACCAGGCTTTCAGGTTGGATGATAACACGCTGGAGTTTGTGGGCATACTTCCAACCCTGGCTGCACCTTATGAACCACCAGTCACCATCTGGTTAATTGTATTTGGGGTGGTCATTGGTCTGATTGTCATTGGAGTTATTGCCTTGATCATCACTGGCCAAAGAGATCGCAAAAAGTGAGTAATATATTTTGATACTATGATTATGACGATTGGGAGATGTCCCGATAATTGAATTGTCGGGATTCTTACAAATTGGGCTGCCAAGTCTAACTGAAACAAGCTAAAGAATGAAAGCTTATTATCCCTCTCCCATCAACAGGGATAGCTAAAGGTTCATCTCCCTGCCTTTCACTGCACGACAGCTTTGGCAGCTCAGTGCAATTTCCCCATCATGAGCAGTTTAACCAAGGCAGCTGGATGCTGTGGCCACAGGGAGCTGCAGGGTGGCCAGGCTTCTGCCAACCCTGCTGCAAGGTGGATGGGATGTCCTGCTGGGAACACAGTGCCTTCTCTAACAGCAGAGTTGTCCGCATTCATCAGCACCTCCAGTTTTCTATAATCTTATTGCAGGCTGTCCAGTAATGCCATTTTCCTTAAATATTGTTGCATTAACAGGAATAAAGCTTGATTGGTTTTCTATGTCTCTCCATTAATAGGGTTTCCAAGAACACAGTAGTTTTGCTAGTTCCTCTTTAAAGCCAACACAATTCCTTTTATATAAATATTCCCAGTTAAACACAGTATTATTGACATTGGGGGTTGATTGTGGGTATTCAGAAGGACTTGAACAGAACAGAGACCTCTACTATAAAATGAATTTTCCTTACAGGAGAGCAAGAGAAAGTAGAGTTGAAGCAGGATCAAACCCTGAAGCAGTGAACCCTTATGCTGAAGAGGGAAAAAGCAACTTGGGCTTTGAGCCATCTGAAGAGACACAAACATCATTTTGAAAGATGTGGGTACACTAAGGGTTTCTGGTTTTTTTCATTTCACTTTTAACAATAGTGCCTAGCAAAGGACCAAAACACTGTGGCATGTCTTCAAACATAATTTCTTCTGGTTGACCATTAATCTACTGATTCATGGCCAGTAGCAACTAAATCTGCTGTTTATGTGGTAACTAGAAAACATGCAAAAGTTGAAGATATATATGTCTTATGGCTTTTCTATGAATTATGTACATAACATTACACACTCTTCGTGCTGCTTTTCATAAGTGTGCCAACTTCTCTTTGTTTCCTCTGTAATGAGATATGAAAGCTTGGAAGTATATAGTGTATACAGATCAATACACACATAAAAAACCTCATATACTCCTGAGGAACATCTTGATCTTTCCAGATGGAGACCTCAAAAGTGGATCTGATAGACAGTGAAGAAAAGAAAACCACCTGACCACTAGAAGAACTTTAGTGATGAAGAACTCAATTTGATATGAAGTAACTGCAATTTTTTGCATCTTCAAGAAATCCGTATCAATGTAAAATGGATACTGGATGAAGACTAACAAGTACTGGAACTTTATTAGGAATTTGTAACATAAATTATTTTTCTAACTCTTTCCTTGATAAGTATTGCAGAGACGAAATAGCCCATGCTCCGTCAGAAAAAAAAAGTTAAAATATCGCTGCGTTATGTTGTCATTAAAAATGGAATAAAATTCCTTAATACTATATGATCAAAGTTTGGTTTTTTTTTTCTATATCTTAGTCATTGCCTGCACTGCTACAAATACTGCATTACAAATGCTGCATACAACAAATACAACTGTGCTATTACATACAAGGGGCAGTAGATTCAGGTTTGGGATGTTGTGATTGCACATGAAAAATAAAACCTGTTCACAAGGAGGACAGTGCAGCACTAGAACAGGTTGCCTCTTCTATACTCTAGGAGAGGCTGTGGGATCTCCACATTTAGAAATGTTTAGAGATCAGGTAGAAAAATGTATGGCTGATGGAGCAGTGAGGATAATCCCAACGCAAGGAAGAAATTTGGCTAGATGACCTCCAGAGGACACTTTCACTCAGATTTTTCATGATTGTAAGTCTAAGTCTAAGGTCCCATGCCATAGCTGCCACCTTGCCTGTATGTTTTTTCTGGACACACCAGGGTCACTGAAAGTCACAAAGATGTGATACTCAGTCCTGGATTGTGACAAAGAGCCAGTAGCAAACATGAACCTGCACGAAAAATGTCCAGCAAATGCAGGGACTCTTAAAATCATGGGCCTCCAAAATGATCAGAATCTGCAGAAAGCAGTCAAACATATATCTAAAAACATACAGCTGGACTATACAGGACCACAAAACACTATCATAATGCTCTGCATTCATTTCCTGTTTGAGACAAGACCCTTAAATGAAGCAGTTCAAAATGGTAGGCAGATGATACTGATTAACTGCAAACTAGACAGGAATGCAAAGGAATGAAAATACTTTTTCTTTTAAGTTGCCTACCTATACCACATATTCTATTGCCTTGATAACCCCAAACCTTAGTGCTTTAGCTGAACTTTTGGGATAACTAATTCAAGTCTATGTGGTCTTCCTTCCTACTTACTGTGCAGTAACACAAAAAGGGAATGGCAAAGCCTGAAATAATCAAATAATGCAATTAGTCATGCCAGCCATCTTCAGATCGGTTGTTAAGATTAACTTTTCCATTATGACAAAGCCTTCATTTCAATCCAATTAATTTTAAAAGTTGTATTATGAATCAAAAAACACCATTCAGAATTGTCAACATATAAAGCCACTAAAAAAATACAGCGGGATGTTGGAAGAACATAAATAAAAAGACAACATTTATATGAAAAAGGTCAGCTACATGCATTAGCCCCACCCACAGCTCACACCCTCTGTGCTAGGGGGTCCCTCTGTCTCCTACTTTCTCTGTGTCTGCACTCCTTCCTGACCCTTTCTCTGGGTCAGCACTCCCTGACCCAGCCCAGTCCTCAGGCAGCATCATACCATGCCCTATCTCTCCCTCCTGCATAGCCTCCTGTGGCCCCCAGGCCTGCATAGATTCCCACAGTCATTTGCGTGACCCCAAATGCTGCTTTGCCTCAAACACACACACAGCTCCCCACGTAGACAAGGATGTGCTCTCTGAGCCATCTTCCAGTGCTGGGACCAGGCAGTGCCAGCAAGCACAGTTAGCTCTAGCTGGCCAGAGACCTTCATTTCTTTCTCCCCTTTCCCCCTATGTCTGCCCCCTGGATTTCTTACTCCTTAGGTTCAGGTGAGCTTGAACCAGAGCTGCAGAGGGGTCTCTGCTAGGGCTGGTCCAGCTCCACCAGGCAAAGGGCAAGCAGGCACCACTTGGACTCTTAGAGACACCGCATGCTGAACTAGCTCAAATATAAGGAGAGAGAAAAGGATTATTTTTTTCAGAGCTTACTTTATTTTAAACCTTATTTTATACATATTAGATCAGCGTTTTACAACTCTTTGTGTCTAAATGCCTCTGCCATAATTATGTAGCTTCAGATGTATCTGGTATCTCTAGATTTGCTGAAGTTAGCACTAATTTTTGTAGTGCTATGCACATTTGAAAGTTAGGTGTTCTTATTTAAATGCTAACATGAGGAGCCGAATTTCAGATCCTCAGTAGTAAAATATTTGGCTAAGCAATTATATTAATAGCATTTTCAGTTATCTTCAAATTTTTGCTCTTCAGGTTTTATAGCGATCAGCAAATTTACCATTTACTATTGCAATGACTATTTTTCTCTTTTACCTGTAGCAGAAAGCAATAACACACTAGTAGATGACACATACGTTGCTAAATTGCAAATATCCTTGATACGTAGCTCAGAATGAATTACAAATCAAATGTACACCCTGAGGGCCAAAACTAAAGTCAATAATACTGTGAGAAAACAGATATAATATTTCACCAGTGGTAATTTCTAAGTAATTGAAAGTGAGACTATATCTATTTATGTCGTTGTCACTTGCAGCAGTTCTAAGTTTGACTTCAGGTGTCAACTTCAAGTGATTATGAAGAAAAAACACATTCAGATGAGTTATGATAATCAGAAAACCTAACAAGCATGTATTTCCCTGTTTACATTAACAGTTAAGGCCAAATAATGACAGCTTGGAAGCACTGAAGGAGTGCACATAATTGGTATGTATATATCTCAGTGCCTGAGAAGTCTTTTGAAAAAATGCTGACAAAATCAATTATATTCTTCCACAGTATCCTTCCAAATTCTGCCACCCACAGAGTGTCATGAAAGCTTTCTCCATATGCTTCTTGGTCAACTCCCTGATTAAATGAGAAGAACACTAATATATAGCATAATAGGCTTGGCTAATGTCAGGCAGATTTCAGATGTAGCTCTCGTACAGAAGGCAGCTGATATGGAACCAGTATGCACAGTCATCTGTTTCTGAATCTTCTTTTTCAACCTCTGTTGCCTTCTCTCAATGCCTCAAAAAATGGTAAGAGCTGATAAAAGGTAGGGCACTTTTCTGGTAGTTAAATGAAGTGAAGATGATGGATATAGTTGTTTCATTTTAAAATAATTCAAGTACTGTAATTTGCATTGGTTTCTCTTGATTTTAGCATGCAAAAATTTGTAGACAGTGATGCTGCTATGAATTTCTGCATGCTAAAATAAAATTAAAGTTACTTTTTATATATATCTTATGTTGTGATAATTTAATCTGCTTTACTTGCTCTAACATGCCCTCAAATATAAGTCACTTTTCTCATTTTCCTGACAATTATATTAAAAAACCCAATAAAACATCATGGTCATTTCATGGTATCATCAATAATGTGTAAAACAGTTCTTTGTTGCTGGTGAGAAACAAGACATGGTCTACAGACAGGTGATTAAAATTTACATGAAGAGGAACAATAAATCAGGATCATTTTTGGCACAAAAGATGCAGATCTCTCAAAATAAAATGAGCATGATCAGCATTTGACTCACAGCTTCTAGACTCATGGGTGGGGTAACACATTTCTTCTCCTTCTAAGGGCAGTTATTTTACACCTTACCTATCTAAAAAGGTGGAGGTCTCTTCTACATCTGCTGTTTAAGATCTCTGTATAGGAAGGCAAATATCTTTTATTCTGTGGTGGCTAAGAGAGAAAGGACAAATGACCATGGAGATGTACCAGTAATGGTCCTGTAATCATGGAAGAAATTTGGACAGTTAGTTTAGCTCAGTCACAATTTTTAATCCATTAAAATTAGATTAGAAGAATCTCATCCTGTTTATTTTGTTGATGTTGAAGGGTATTATGATTAAATACACGCTTCTGAAATGAAGGAAGTCAATCTTCCTTTATGACCTGTTTCCTGTATTGACAATTTCCTGAGCTAGATACGATATAGAATGTTTTACATACAAGCAGTGGCTTTTATAAATGATATTTTTCCCTGTGAAAATCAGTTCAGCTGTCAGCAGGGACTCCTAGTGGTTCCTATTATTTTGCTTTCTCCAGTTTGTATGAGCATATATACATACCTCATTCCAGCAGTTGTCCATTATCTAGTAGATGGTGTTTGAAACCTGTTGTGATCTATAAAATCTGTATCCATGAGAAACTTTCTCAATCACTGGCATACTATATTAAAGCTCATAGGGCTGCTTTCCCAAAGTGAACACCTCCCACATTAAGACATGAAACAAAAGTCAAGAAATGCAAGGTAAGTCCCTTTTCACAGAACAAGATACACAGGCAAGATACAACTGATCAGACTCAGAGAATATTGTCCAAAGAAAAATATGATTCTATACACAAATGTAAAACAACTCCTACTGCAGAGGAAGATGAAGTTAGGTTATAAAGTTAGCTATAAAATATATTTAATGTGGACAATGATGGACTGAATTTTTTTACAGAATATGTGCAAACATCTTCTTATATATGTCTGTGTGCGCACAGAGAGGGAAGGAAAAACAAAATGACAACTATAGGTATCCATGTTTTTATAAAATAATAAGAAAAAGTTTACTGTGTTTTCTGAGTGGAACATATACTCCTTTGGTATCAGAAAGATTTCCAAATACTTTAAAGTCTCAGCTGCACATACCTTTAAAAACTGGTTATACTGAAGCAATAGAAACACTGGATAATACCATAATCATCAATTCATAATTAAAGCTTTTCAAGAAACAATTTTGGTTGTAACTGAACATATGTGAGACTCATGCCTACCCTAAAGTAAAAAAAAATTGGTGAAATATTTATTTCAAAATTATATATAATGCTAGCTGTATTTTTTTTTTCTTAGAAATTTTTGGGATCTTTGACTTCCCTCCAGCTTGAAGGCTGGAGCATTGTAGTGTCACAGTGAGATCAGAATAAAATGGAACCTGAATCCCAGCTTTCCTTGATGAGAACATTAAAAAACCCCAAGATTCTTTCTTCTTTGACATCTGCTTTTGGGATATGGATACATCAGTTCACTTTTTAAAGACTGATTAATTAATAACAACCAAACATGAACTGACAGATCCCACTCTCCCCTTGCTTCCACTGCATCAATGGATAGTGTTAAAATGAGAAAAAAATCTTCTATGGAAAAAATAACATTTCTCATTGAAGTTAATGCCAATATTGAAGTTAATGACAGTAAAGCCTGGGGCCAGAATTTAATCGATAAGAGCGAAAAGAAAACATTATCACCAGAAAATCCAACTTCTGATATAATTGTATATATTATAAACAACTTGTAAAGGGCATGAAGGAACTCTTTCTCTGCCAGAGTCATTAATACTGGGAGACTAGCTGAGGTTAAAGATAAGAAGCAGCCCAGCATTTGGAAACACTTTTATCTGCTTTATTCACCATTGTTCAATGTCAAGAACAGTGGGTTGCCAATCTTTCATCAACTTGACAGCTGCCAAAATTTTCCTGCTGGAGGAGCAGACCCAGATAAGTGGAATTCAAGCCTGTTCACAAAAGGTTCCCTTTCCTTTGACACCTTTTGCAGACTTTAAGAAACACTGAACAGACCCCAGGGATTTGTAAATCATAGCTTGAAACCACTGAAGTAGAAGTTCAAATGTTCAAAATTCCTGGTTAGAAAGTGATCTGCAAACAAATATACTTTTTGCTGAGATACAGAGTCCTAGCTCACACAGACTGTCTTCCACAGATGGCTTATGCACAGAGTCCACTCTGACCTCTGGGACAAACAGAAAAGCCCTTTTGACTTGGGCAGCACTGATTTATGGTCTAAAGACACCAAAGATTACCCTTGATCTCCATTGCCAAAATTTACTTTAAACACATATGTAGCAAATGGAGAGTGGGCAGAATTTTTATTTGCCTTAAAGAAAAATCTAAGGGCTAAAAAATTCCAAATAGGATAGGGCTTGTTTGCATAAAAATATTAAACAAGAACACAAGCTGTAACTGCTTTTTACAATCTTTCAGTGAGCTAAATGTCTAGCATTTCTGCTTAATAAGCTGATGAAATCCAAATGTAATGCCATATATACATACAAATTCATGTGTCAAATTCCATACATACCAAAGGCCCATACATCTGACTTGGTGTAATGAAAAACTTTGGATGCTGACCACTTCACTGGAAACTTGGTTCCTAGAGAATTTATATGCAGATCATCCAGAACATATCCACAATGCAAGAACCAAACTTGGTTGTGACTGAGTTACAGTGAAAAACTTTACTGCTTCTTTCTTGTATATCACAATGTTCCTAAGGAAAGCCTAGGTAGAATCTTAAATTTCCAAAGAATACCTCATAGAGGTATAAGCTATAATCTAGAACAGATCATTGCTACGAACTTACTAGAGAAATAACTCAGAATCATAGAAACACCTGTTGTCAGGCCATCTAGCCTGGCCTCCTGGCCTCCTGCTCAAATAGCATGAGAGCAGGTCAGCCATGACTCTGTGTTGCTAAGTCTTAAAAGCCTCCAAAGATTACCATCTTGTAGTCTCCCTGACCAGCAAATTTCATTGTTCCATCACTTTCCTGGAAAAACAACTTCTCTTACTATCCAGCTTGAAGTTCCTGAGCTGCAGCCTGTGGCCTATATCTGCTGTTATTTCACCAGGTAGCTTTTAGATACCCTCTTATCTTCCTCTTCTCCAGGCTAAGCAGCTTGCTCCCCTCAGCCTCTTCTCAGAGGACGTGCTCTGTAGGCTACCCACCCTTGCCATTGAGGCAGCTATTAATCAGTTTATCTGATTAAGCTATTTGGTCCCCAAATTAGGTGAAAACCTCATACACAAAATAAACTTTGAGATTTCTTTACAAACATGACTTGCGAAACCTCTCAGCTGCGATTTGCCTTTAAACCTTAACTTTTTGAGACAGCAGAGTGACCCCATTCTTCTTCTAAAATTACTTACAGTCATTAATGGAAAGGAGACACAAAGAACTGTATCACACTCTTCGGCTTAACTTTCCTATCAGCCAGCTGATCAATGCCAGTAAACTAATATCAGAGCTTCACTGGGCTCCCAGTTCTTTCACTTACCGAGTTATCTTAAAGTCAGATACTTTCACAGTAAGTTTGCTGTCAACCAAACAGTTCCTAGCAGCCTTTATTGGAGAAATGAGAAGAGATGAATGGAAAGAACGTAAAGAGGAGCAAATAACATCAGGTATTTGGTGTCTGCTAATAATGTCTGCCCTCTAGCATTTCAGTGAATAATGACATCTTTGATTGACACAATTAAGTTTGAAATGGTAAGGGAACAGTAAGTGGCTCTCTTGTTCCACTTTTTGACTATTGATTGAAAAACATTCTGTACCATTATCACAGCTTTACAAATAAGGACTTGGAGGGATGAGGAAACAGAGCTGAGAAATCCACATTCACCTAGAAAAACAGCAACAGAACCAGGAACTAAATTCTGTCTTTCAAATGGCTTCCTATCCTGGGCCCTTTTCAGTCGTCTCAGAATTTACCAAGGCATCAAAAAATGGAAAACATTGATTGGATTATTTGCAATGCACTAAAAACAGAGTGGAGCAATGAAAGGGGACTGTAACAGCTTGATTTATGAAAAGTTCAATAGAAGCCTAGTTGTGTAAATGGTCACTTGAGAACATTTATCTAAGGCTGTATTCTCTGCATGCATGCTCATTAACTTCTGTGATACTGTTTGCATCTACAGTTTTCAATCTGAAATCAAGCTCCAGTTTTATTTCTGTTTTCCCATGGTTTCCCATATTTTCAGGAAACTGACTTTATATTTAAAACTTGAATTCTGCTACTTAAGTTATCTGATATTCCTGATTTCTGAATTGAGCTGTGAAAATTGATGAGGTATGGATTTAACAACTGTGTTTACAAGTAACGACAATTCTTTGAAAGCATCAACAAGACAGCTAAAATGCAACTAAACTTCCATTTCCCCATTGGAAAATGAAACAAGTCTGTAACATAAATAGTCAAAAATCTTCCAACATATTTTTATCTGGAATTAGAAGGCAAAATATTGCTACTGACTCTGAAGCACAATGCACCAGGAATTTGGTTAGGTTCACTGTTAATAGGCCAATAAAATAACAGTTTATTTCCCCAAAGAATGGCAGCATTCTTAAAAGGTAAGTTTTGCATAAACTTTAGGTACAAGTCCATGAAAGGACTGATCCCCTAATCAAAAGCAACTTGAAATACTTGCTTGAAAACTGGCAGATAAACGTATTTTAAAGAGCTGGGCAGTTGCAGACTTTCAAATTCTGTTCCTGCTTGTAATGCACCAAATTCCAGTTTATCCTAGTAGTGTTCACACTCATTTTATTCTAGCAGAAATAATTCCCAACTGGATAAATCCCTAACTCATCAGAAACAATGTAAGTGACCCAAATCTTTAACATTGCATTTCTTTCTCCTGAAGGACTACAGCATCATTGGACAGAACCCTTTATTTCAGTGGGCAAATTTTCCAGTTGGATGTCTGTGCTGTGTACACATTAATCCTTGAGCCCAGAGCCCATAAATGCAGGCAGCACAGTATGCAGTGCTCTAGAACCTGTCAGCTCTGCCCTGAAGCAGAGCACATTAGAGTGTATAATAGCCTGAGTTGGAAGGGACCCACATGGGCAGTGCTGTTTACATGTGACTTTAGTGCTGCTTCTCCAGAGCTGCCTTGTATTGAGCCACCTTTGTGTCTCTGTTCAGCACACCACAATGCTTTTTGGGGTGAGTGCCAACAGAGCCAGTGCATCTGTGGTTGATACAGAGGCGTAGAACTGACTAATGTCAGGTCATGCCCCTGCCTTCCCTGTTCTGCTTCTCCTGTGGGATAGATTACAAATTGTCCATGTATGAACTGACAGATCTCCAGAAATGCCATAGCATCACAAACATCATAAACATACTTTCAAAAAAGCTAAAGGGTAGGAAGGGTTCCTTTCCATGACTCCTTAGGTGGCTGATCGAATAGTCATTAGCCATGTATTCAGTCACTAAATAGGCAGAATATAATTTTGAGAGTACATTGTACAGTCTAAAGTGTTTGGGATTATTAATTTTCCTGAAATAAAGAAAAAATCAATTAATAAATAGATATTATTGTACATTTCTCTAAGCTTTGTTCTTCAAATATCAATACAATGTATTGAAAGAAATTATTGAAACTGGATACAGTCCCAGCTCAGCCTTCAAATACTCCATTTCAAGAAGGACTGAGTGTCCTTCTTCTTATTATTTTGAAACTTGGTATTGATGACAACCAAAAGACGACTCAGTATTGATGAAAAGACAGTGTTGTAGCCAAAACCCAAAATAGGATTTAGCAGCACAAAAGTGTGGCCTTACAAAATTTTCACATTCAGAATCCAGATCCTATCAACTAGTTAATTGTCAGGAATGTAGCGCCTCCTTTCAGGATACAAGATATCCAAAATATTCTTGAATTCATATGCTTCGACTATCATCTTGTGGGACTTCACTGGAAATTCTAACATCTTTAACTCTTTGGAGTCAGAGACTTAAACTTCAAGTCCCATGTTTTTGTTTTTGGTGTTTCCCGGTTATTTGTCGGTCTCTCATTCCTACCTGTGGGATCTCATTCCTGCCTGTGGGATTGCAGGAACAGCTTTCTAACTGTTTATGTATAAATGCTAATGAAGCATAGTTTTAAGTGGCATATGTGAAAGCTCTGAAATTACGGAAGAGATGTTAATTGAAAACTTTGTAGATGACCCTATTGATCCTTGAAAGTTCCTTTGATAATACTTCAAATATCCTTTGTGACTCCTTTTAGCCTGTTTCTAATGTACTCACCATTACTTAATGCTATTTATAAGAAGAACTCTTTCCTGTGTGTGTTATACATTACTGATTAATGTTTGGAGAGATCATTATTTCCAAATGATTAAGCAATGCCATAGCTTACATCATGGCCTGAGCTTCTATGAGTTCATCTTCTGCTTCCTCTTTAATCCTCCTTATAGCCACTTCATATTTTTCCTTCCACTTTCCCTGAAGCACCACTCCAAACTGAGCACTCTCTAGCTCTCTCAACAGGACAATTTTTTCTCATTTCAACTCCCAAATTCCTAGTGGGAAAAAAAAATTCCTTTAGTGAAAAAACAACAAACAATGGACAAATGCAGGTGCAATATCCCTCCCAGGCAATGCTGTTTTCTCTGGAAATTTGCAGCACTGGAGTAACATACCTGTCTCTCAGCTTTGTGTTTGAGTTATGGAAATTTCCTATGAGTGTTGTTTGCTACTGCTTAAATTTAAGCCTTACGTCTATAGATTTGAACAAGATTTATGCATGAAATCACAATGCATTTTCATACAGGATATCAGAGAACAAATATTACTGTGCCAGATGATGTGGCAAAGGGAAAGAATGGCCATGGCTCAGATGGGCTGGGGAAGGAACCTTTCAAGGACTTGCACAGTTGATATAAGACATGGCATAAGATGCCTTAAAAAGGGCACAACATAAAAGTTGCTACAAAATGCCTTTGTGTTCACTTTGCCCTGAATGTGGACAAAATGCACTTGTAGGAAGGGATACACTATTTCATAGAACCATAAAATCTCAATGCTACACTCTATAAGAGAAAACTACAGAAGGAACTATTGACTGAAAGACCAATTTTACCAAATTCTCCTGTTGCCTCTTGCATGGACAAGCAGAAATGGCCACCAAAGATTCTGTAACCTCCTGACTGTAACCTGCAAGACTGAAAGCAGTGAGGGTCATTGTTCTCTGGTTATTCTTTTCTTGGTGGCCAAGACACCAGTTTCTAAAAGGAAAATTATCTTTATACAATTTCCTGATGAAGCTGTCGTTGGGACCTTATTTACTTTTGTAGATACTGCATGCTGGAACCTTGTCACATATTTATAAAGAAAAACTGTTAAAGGTCACAGTATTACATGGGTTTTCTGAAATAAAAGAAAATAAAGGGAAACAAATACCTCCCTCTCCCTACCATATTACAACCATCCAGGTAATGACAGATAGTCAATATTCAATATTCAGCAGCTGCTGCATCATGACACCAGATTGAAAATTTTCTGTGCTTAAGGGCTGTTTCAGCAGACGCATTGCAAGATGGGGTAGTTCAATACCAAAAAACCATTGTACAGCGAAGTTAAGCAACTACATTGATTGTGAATATGTTAGATCAAGTTACACCCAAACTCTCCCAAAAGATGGCTCAGTATTTGGAACGTTCAGTATTGGAAGAGATTCACCATAATGCTGAGAAGGCCAGATGCCTAAGCCAAAACCAATCAAGTAGAAAGAGTACATAGGATAACTGGTGAAGTTGTGCTGATGGTAGTGTATAAGTTCGGGAATTGATTCAAAGCAATAATTTTCAGCAAGGTAATACTTGTGCTCATGGGTTTTATACACATGTAATATTTGACTGTTCCTTCTTTACTTATTAAAAACATCACAACATGCAGTGTATGTCAAGACCTTGCAAAGTGCCTTCCAGTCCAAGTGTTAATAGATTAGTTGTCATGAGCTGCAACACTTCAACTGGCCAAATAACAAAATATGTAGTAGATGTCTCCAGGAAAATTGTTACATTTGCCTCAGCCTACTTTCCTCTCCTTAGCACCCCCTGGCTATGCAGTACAGGCTCAACCCATTGGAGACTTCTGTGATACACTTTAATGTAGTCTGATGGTTAGGACTTGTCCCCCAACAGTTACATCTCAAACAAAAGACTTTCATATTCTGCCCCTGCAATAGTTCTTACATCCAATTTGGAACATCTTCCCTTCCCCTACTCCTTCCCATTCCCACTCCTATTCCCTTTTCCCTTCTCTTCCTTCTCTCTCACACTTGAATCTCTGCTGTTCCCCTGGATTATGTGCCTGTTACATGGCATTGTTCAGATGAGAAGATTCTGGACCTCCGTTCCCCCATTCAGGGAGCCACTGTCATCTATGAATTCAAAGAACCAATACGACCTGAATGTGCCCGAGGTTCATTTTTTAACACAGTGTAGAGATTGTTGTTGACCTGTCACAGCAAGCAGCATATCCATAGCATGGTCATAGAAATGTTACACTTTCTTGGGATATTCACTCAGGAACCTTGCTGAATACAGATGTAACACACATTCCTGCTTTGTAATACTTTTGGCGAAACTTCAAATGATAAAAGCACCTTCTTTTCCCCAGTTAAATAATAAAAAAAAAAAAAAATAAAAAAAGAATGAATAATTTCCAAGAAGCAGCAAGGTTGGGATTAATTTCAGTGAACTTTAGCCTTTTACACTGTAATGTCCAGAAAGGAGACATGACTCATCTGAACTCCCTTAAGGACTTCATTAGAACAAGATGAATAATGCATGAGAAATCTTTCTTTCCAGTAAAAAGAGGGTTTAGGTAACAGGTTGTGGTATCCCACTATAAATATTTAAAATTAGGTGAGTTCTACTCCAGCCCAGACATGAAGCCAGTCATCTGCAATTCTGTTTTGGTGCGTAGATACAGATTTATAACTGGGGAGATTGAGAGTTGTTAACCCCATCTCCTTCCTCATGTCCCTTCCAGAGGCTCTGTGTGTCATAAGACCCTAACACTGACACACACATATCCTGAAAAAGAGTTCTACCCACCACACTCAGTTCCTTTACATGAAGAATTAGGCTGATGTATTTTTTATTGCCGAAGTATTTCTGCATTATTGAGCAAATAAAAAGATTTTCACTGCATTCTATTATAGTTGCACTATTTTTAGTCTTTATGTGGTACTACAGTCTTAACTTTTACTCTCCAATTTTACATCTGGTAATGATTACCATACTAGGCTGGAAGTTCTGACTCTCAGAGTTCATTAAACAGCTACACCTCTATATTGCAGGGAGTAAAAGAAGACATCTGGAGGTTCACCACTGTGAAGTTTGAAGGAAATTTCACGTCCCTTAAGTTAACTGGACTAAGTGTTATCCAGCACACTTGGGGACTGAAACACAACTGCCTTTCTCCAGAGTTCAGCCACACCTGACTTCCATTCCTGAACCTATGGTGCAGGTCCAAGGGAAAGGACACTGAGTCAAGGCTCCCAAAGGATCATTTTCCATCAAAGTTGTTAGTGGCTGGGTACTGATAACGCTGAGTGTGAGAAAGTAGCAAGCCACAGGAGGAAAATGTTTACACAGCACATCCAAGAGGAAAAAATGTGTGAGGCTGTGTCTCCTCCAGGAAAGTATATGGACAAGTATTTCTGCAGTCATCTACTTGTACCCCTGACTGTGGTGCTATCCATCCTGGCTCCTAGTCAGCTGCATCCAGTCAAGACTCAGTGAGCATAACACTGATTTTGCTCAGGGTTGTGTTCCTGTCTGGGTGAGCTGTAAAACCACCACTGAGGATTCCTCTACAGTCACCTGCAGAAAAAGCTGCACTGGAGCAAACAACACAGGACTAACAAAAGGGAAAAAATAGAGCTTTGAGGGGAAATGCACTCAGTGTGGCTTTGTTCCAAGCCTATTTTAGAGGTGAGTCGTTTGCTCCTTTATGTGGAACATGCATTTTTTGAGATCTATTTATCCATACCAAGTTAGGACCAGGATTTCTAGCACTTTATAATACTACAGCTATTTGAAGAGCATCAGCATCCTCTAGCTACACTGTATAGCAAAGACAACAGACACAGAAACATTTCTGTGGTTGTTCATATACAAACAATAAAGGATGTGTAGGACCTTCAGACAGAGCAGCTACTCAGACTGGGCACAGAGATATCAGCATACCAACTATAAAGAGAAATATTGGGTTTGTTATTCACAGGCTGGTTTCTGAATAAGATTCAGCAGACATATGAAAAATCCCAGCATTGTAAAAACCGCTTTTTAAAGTCAGAGGATAGACTTGTCCTGTATATGTAATTATAGGCCATGAGATAACAGGGAAACCACTAGTTCCCATCTGCTTTTTCTTGTCCAGTGGCTCTCGTTGCCCCAAAATAGCTGGGTCTACTCTGTAACACTGATTTTTTACAATAACTCCTTAGAGGAGGATCCCACTGCCCTAAAGTTCTGCCAGGAGCTCTATCAGAAGTAGTTTGCTCTGTCTCATGCAGACCATGACGCAGTTGTCTGCCCAAAAGCTGGGAGGTACATAATTCTCCTCTAAATTTGAACCTTCTGTTTTCATAATATTTAAGTAAACTGAGAGTTCCCTGATGGATGAAACAAGCCAAACATGCTCTGTCAGATCAGTTCAGGGAGTACCAATTAAGTCTGCTTCAAAAGAGTTCCCTTTTATGAAGCATAATTTTAGCATACAAGAGACTGATTTGACTAAATGAATTTTTTTTTCTCTGAAAGTAAATATATTTATACCTCCAGAAGTCTGTGGGAGGTGATATTACTGATGAAAATACCTATATGTATTATAATTATTATGACAGCCATATGTGGTATACCATTGCTGCAGGTACAGTGGACATGTAGGGTGGAAAGAAAATCTCTGCCCAAAGAATCTTTTGGTTCTCAAGAAGACCTGTTCTACATGCTCATGCTTAGCAATACTCTGCTCTTCTGCCAATGTCTGTTTGCTGACACTGGAGTTTTCCCTGCAAAGACAAAACAATATGATAAAACTGTGAAAACCCAGTGGCCTTTCAATACTTAAGGGGCTTATAAGACAGATGGAGACAGACTTTGTACAAGGCCTATTGTAACAGGACAAGGAGTAATGGTTTTAAACTGAGAGTTGGTAGATTTTGACTGGACACAAGGAAGATATTTTTCATGGGGAGATTCATGAGACACTGGAACAGGTTGCGCAGAGAAGTTTTGGATCCCCCGTGCCTGGAAGTATTCAGTCATGTTAGATGGGGCTTTGAGCAACCTGATCTAGTGAAAAATGTCCCTAGATGATCTTTAAGGTCCCATCCAACACAAACCATTATAAGATTTGATGATTCTACCAAAAATTCCTTCCTTGGGTTAAAAGTCATGCTACATGTATTTTTTGAGTAGTTATGCTGTGGTCTAAGATGAGTATTTCAAAAATTTGAGACATATGTAATTGTCTGGATTTTTTTATCACTTGGTAAATACTTAAACAATCTTTCTCCTCCACTGTGCAATGTGTTAGAAAGCCAGATATTCTCTGTGCATGCTGTAACAGGCAATGAAAACACATATGCCTTTAGTGACCTTATGCAGAGATTGCATCTACATTTTCAAAATGTACATGGAAACTTTCCAAAACTGCACAACCCTAGACTTTACAAATAAATGTTCTTAGCATGACAGACAACAGGAGTCCATATGGCAGAAAAAGAAACCTCTAAAATAACCTCTTGTACAGAAATAATGATGATTCTTATTTTTGGTTCCTTTCACAGGATACTATAAAAGTAGAGATTTTTTAAGGAAATCTCTGAATCTTGTCCAGTATGGTTTATTATGAGACAATATGTTATATTTCTGTGAATTTTTCATTCAAATAGCTTGGCATAGATTTAATGCTTACAATGTCATGTCATCTTACTAAAAAGGGAAATACGGATCTGATGTCTCACTTTGACAGACCTGGACTCCCTGTATCCTGTACCAGACTACTCACAGACATACAAAGGCCCAGGAGTGCTAAGAAGGGTGATTTAAGGCTGAAATAAGAGTACAAAAATTGAAATACCAGCATCACTGAAGTCAGTGACAAAACTCTTGACTTGATTTAAATGAAACCAGTATGTTTTTCACATGAATGTATGAGACAAGAAGACAAATTGTATCTGATTTTATACATTTCAGGAAACCTTATGCTTAGTACTCAGAATGTTATTGAAAAAGAAAAATAATCCAGAAAAACTGCCTAATCTTTGCTAGGCTAGTGTGGAAAACATTTAAGCAGTGGATGGCTGCGTATTGATTAACCTGGGCTTATCATCATTCAGAAACAGCTTTCTCAAGTAAGTGCTCAGTACAAATCCTTTATTCCCACAAAATAAATAGTTCACAGTTTAGCTATTGTACATGACTGCATCTTAAATTTGGTCACTTAGGAAAAGGGATTAAACAGAAAGTCACTTTTCAGAATGCCACTAACAGAAATGCTCATGGTTAAAACATTCCTGCTTTTACTTACCACGCAGAAAAACACAGAAGCAATTTGTTTGAGAAAATTACACTTCAGTGGAGTACTCTTTCTGCTAGTTATTGAAATGGTTTCTTCCTCCGTGGTTGGTTTCAGTTATGGAAGGTTGGAGCAGCTGTTCAACAATATCATTACATTCCATCTCAGTCGCTGCAATGAAGGATGCCAGAGACTAATGGATACCAGCAAAGTGTCCAAGATCAAACACAGAGTCAATAGGCAAGCTCAGCACTCTTCCTGACACAATGCCAGATGAAACTGAGAAGCTAAACTAAGTGAACACGGACAGCTGAGCTACCACTTACAGCAGCTGGCAGCATGGTATGATGGATTAAGTTATGGGGGCCAACAGACATCTGTAGTTGTAAGGTGGTGGGCTGTATGTTGTGCCTATCAGAAAAATAAATGAGAGAAATAAATTGTATATTTGAGTATGGATGGACAAAGAAAGGAATCTTTAACATAGATCTCCGTAGCAGAAGAAGAAAACTGAGAGTGCATTAAAACAGGTGAAACATGACTCCTGATATTTGTTCCTGTTACATTCAAGAAAGGAAGATCTTTGTTCTTTTTTTCAAGCAGAATTAAAAGCTTTTGTTAAGATGTATATGTAACTTGTCCTTACAGAAGCAATACTGCAAAAGTCTCAGTTTCTCAACTCAAAGGGAAAAACCCGTAAATGTCCCTCCTTTTTCTGGATTCCCTCTGCTTCTTTATTCATGATAGAGCCCTCTGCTCAGGCTCTATAAGAAGAGCTGCCTGTATTGTATGTTTTTACATAATCATAAGTGAGGGCATTCAGGTCCATATCTCAGCTGACCAATTCACTATTTTCTTCAAGTTGCTGGGGTTGTGTGCTGCTTTCTTCATCCAGAACAGTGTGTGATCTCCTTAGTTATAAATTGCAAACACTTTACGTCAAGTTAAGGTTGCCATACTTGTTGGTTTTCTTACAGTTGTAACAGTAGATAAGCAATTTCAGTCTGTTCTAAAGTAATTTGGGCATCCCTATCTCAGAAATTTTTCCCTTCCACACTTCTATCAAGTACATAAAATCAAACTCATCTAGTATTAATCATGAGACAGACAAGGAATGTTATCTCTTCCAGAGAACTCCTGTTTGTTGCACTGCCTTCACCTCCAGTACCTCCTAAAGCCATTTCTCATTTAATGACTTGGGAAGAGGTGCTTTTTTTCTGTTCCAGCTGGATATTAATGAAAAATATCTTCGGTTGCTTAAGAAGATTTCTCTGCTTGTAAAACTCAAAAAGAATAATTAAACCCTATGCAGGATGGGGCTGCCCTGTCTTTGTGCAAAAGTATTACTAAAGCTGAGGAGAGACTGAAGTGATAAGGGATTTGCACTGCAGCACTTCACACTGGTCTCCCACGGTGTCACTGCTATTGCAACTGTGATAGTGGTGGTCTAAAGAAGGTTTGTGCATATACGAGAGACAACATTTGTTAGGAGAGATTTTATCTTTTTGTCACTTAAACTAAATACTGGAAAAAAATGGATAGCTTCTGTGTACACAAGCCCTTCTTCAGGCACATACAAAAATTAAGGCCACTGAATACTATCTTAGCTATTATACTAGGCAGTGACTGCTGTAAATTTTATTCAACCTGCCAGCCAAGGATGGTAATGAAAATGGAGTTGTACAGAGACAACGAGGCTTTTAGAGTAATGTTTAAAAGTTAGCAAGGTAATTCTAACATAGATCCTGAAAGATGCCAGGACTGCCTGCAGTCTTGTCTTCAAAGATGAGATATGTGGAAGACCACGGTCATGGAACAAAAGCATTCTGCAGGGCATACTTACCCTTCCCAATCCATTATTTTCCACCAGTCAGAATATTTTTCTTGTGATACACAGTATTTATTGCTTCTGACAAGCTGGATAGCTGAATTACCTTCAGGTTTGTATTTGCCTTGGGCCACAGCCACATTCAGGACTGACTTCTCTGGTGATAGTCTCTGGGGCAGGCTTCCATGATTCCGTTTTTGAAGACAGAGGAAATAAATGATAAGGAGATGTAGAACAGGCTACAGTAAGAAATAACACATGGCATTTATGTGATCAGTTATATCTTGAACATTTATAATGATATTAGGCAAATTAATCAAATCTCAGAAGCTCAAGGCACAGACAGGCAGTTTTTCCTCATCCATTTAGAAGGACAGCCTAGACACTGTTGTCCACATTTGAGAGACAGGTGAGAACAGAGCCAAGTTCTGTGATAATGACACCAGCAGCAATTAACTCTGAGTGGAAGCTGACACTGCTGTAATAGGAAGCTGTCATTACCAGAATTACATGATAGACCTGACTTATATCAAAATCCTGACACCTCTCTGAAGCTGATACTACTTAATGAACAGTTGCAATTCCTGTGCTTTGGACACCACTTGACTAAGTTATTTTTTACTGTAACTAATGTCCTGTTGTATCAAAAGATCCCATCACAGTATTTTAAAAATAACTTTGAGGTTCTTTTTAATGGCTTTCGATCGATAGTTACCATCAAGTACAACAAACATTAGTCAACTGTTACTACTAATCACTGAAAGCAAAGTAAAAGCTATGCTAATTCTAAATTATTCCTTTTTCCTAACATAATTTTTTGATGTCTCTCAGCTAAGCATGTTGGATATATGTAATCTCACTCCTTGGTGCCTCACTTTCCCTGTGGAGAGCTGAACATGTGTAGGTATGCAACCATGGGATTCATCTCACCAAGTTTTAACCCATGTCTTCACGTGAAATATGTCATCCTACAGAAGTGTCTACCTCTCATCATGGGTTGTTGAGGATGTCTGCAAAATTACTTGGATGAGAAGCCTGGCATTAAAATTAGGTGACAACAATCAGATCATGGACAGAAGAGTATCTAAAATTAAGGCACTGGAATGTGTTTAGAAACCAGGGGAATGTCATAACTGAGAAAATCTGGACATCACAATTCTTTAATTAAGAGGAGAGAAAGATACACTTGAAACACTGACAACTAAGGATGAGGAAAAATAAGAATGACTTATAAGAAAAGGCTGCAAATGGCACCTATTTATTTACGTATTACTGAAAACCACTGTAATTCAATGTCAGTAAATAATGGCAAGTGTCCTGAAGCAGGCTATGATTCCTTTAAATCAAGTCCAAGTGACCATGTCATTGTATGTTTACTTGTTTTCTATTTATTGGCATTCCTTAATTTAAACAAGAAGAAAACACAGAAGCACCTTATTAAGTCCACTGAGCCAGAAGACATACATGATCTCTTCTGCACACACAAAACACGTCAATCTGAGCTCCATTCTTTAAAGAGGTATCAGTCACAGAAGAATCCTCTTCATTTGACGAGAAGTAGTTCTGTTATACTTTTTTGTGGTTTCTATTGGCTGTATCTGATTTTAGTGGAGAGAATCTTATAGTTTGATGGCCTGAGTTAGGCAGGATTCAAGTTTTAGACTATCCATTTGCTTTGTGGAAGAATGACAGAACTATAGTTGCCTGCAGATTTCAGAAAGATGGGGAAAAAATATAGTACAGAGATTAAACTCTTCTCTCTTCAGAGCATCCAGTGATGTTAGAGCAAACTGATATGCAGCAATCATGCTTATGAGCTGGTGTGTACCTCTGACATTCGGTCTTGGTAATTTTGGAGATTAAATTGCTCCTTCATTTCCTGTAATTTTTTTTATTTTGGTCTTTTTTTTGTTTGGTTTTTTGTTTGTTGGTTTGGTTTTTTGTTTGTTTTGTTTCATTTTGTTTGAGTTTTTGTTTGCCTTGGTTTTTTGTTTTTCTGATTTTTTTGTGTGAAGTGATCAGAGTGTCATCCTCTGATGGAGCTGTCATCTTGTTGGATGAACAGAAGAAACTGCAAAGCACTGGCCAAAATAAATGAATTACTATCATGGAAATTAATTTTGCTTTGTCCAACCTGCCAGGGAAAATAACCAGTCCAAGATGAGCACATCAGGTTTGTGTTTCACTGCTGGATGTATATTTGACTGTTGCAGTATTCTAGACAGACTTCATCTGTAATCTGGTGGAGATTATTATCCTGATTTGTGTCCATACATACAGCTTTCCATGTCCAACACTGGCTGAAAGCCCTAGAACACTTCCTAAGAGTAACTGAGTGGATCTTATTATTTCCATTATAGTGGTAGTGGTATTTTTGTGGGTTTTGTATTGATGATCGTGCCACTGTCATCTAAAGAGAGCCACAGGGGATGGTCTGAGGTTCAGCTGTGATGTCCACATGAGGAACACTTATTATCTGCAAAACTGTACCCCTATCATATGGCTGGAAGCATGTGCTAAATCACTTCAACTCCCATAAAGCTTGTCCAATACATACTAATGAGAGAATATGTGTGTGCACTCAGTGATCTTCCATCTGATCTACTGCAGTGTTGGTCTGACCTACAGGAACCATTTTCCAGTGCAAAGACAGTGGATGTCAGGCACCAGCAGAGGTGAAAGTATTTCTCAGGCAGAAAGCTCCTGCTTCCTGCTGTTATCAAAGCCAAGAGGAAGTTCCCTCTGCTTCCCATGAAGTGACCTTTTGTGCCCAATATTCCTTTTAATGGCATCACGCTTCAGGAGCCAGCTCCTCTGTGGGAGACTAGAGGTATAATGGTGAACTGATGAAAGAAATAGAGGTATCAAAGGTGCAGGACATGAGTGTGCAAAAGTAATGCCTCATGCAAAAGTAATACCTCGAGTCAGCTGGGAAGAATGAAGGGAGAAAGCCTTGCAGAGGCTGGAGAGGTGAGTGACATGAACTGAGGTGGGCAGAAAGAAGGCTGGGGGCATGGTGATACCTCTGATGATCAAAATGAGTACATGAAAGGAAAAGTAAAAATGTGCTGAGAGCTTATAGAAGCAGTTCTGTGACTAAATATGGACTATTCCTCACCGTGAGAAGTCAGTATTGGCCTTCTTAACCTGATTGTATCATATGGCTTGGGAAAATGAAGTCAAGTTGTTCTACCCAGATGTGGTAATCATTATATCTTCATTTACTGAACCTCTTTTAGAAGTACCCATCGGAAAACTGTTGTGCCCTGCTTTTTAAATTTCCCTTTCAAAATATCTTCTCTGAACTGAAGCAGATAATAAAAAGAAATCATAAAGGCTTAACTGAACCCAGAATGTTCAGCAGCAGATTTGCATGACTGGTGATCTCTCTGTATAGACAAAGCATCTCCTGATGGAACCCAGGCATAACAGACCATGATATTCAAAACAAGTTACGCTGCTGCGTGTTCACAATGCTATTGCTTTCAAATCTGAACATCAGAAAAAAAAGTCAAAGTCTTCTTTGTTCCTAGCTTCTTTCCAAGGCTTATTATTTTTTCTTAAAGCTCCATTGCATAGCTCTTGTGATTTGTATCTTCTGTCTCTTGTCAACCTATGTGTTTCTTAAAGCCCTGGCTGTTCATATTAACTGCATAAATAGAATTCTAGCTTTTCTTTCTTTTAAGTTACTTTCTGATTAACAGAGAGAAACTAGGAAATAGATCCAGATCTAAAGATAAGGAACAGAAGACAAATTAAAAAAAAGGAGGAAATATGGATTTTAAAATCTCATCATTTGAAACACAATTTGGTTTAATTTTTTAGGGGCTGTGTAACGATGTGTGCACACACAGTCAGACCATACTGCTAGTCCTTTTTTTAAGAGATAAAAATATCATAAAAACTTACATCACTTTGGTGTCTTCTCTTGTCGTTGTTGTTACCTCCTTCCCACCTACAAATGCCAATAATTAAGTTGGGCAGTAAAACTAAGGTCAGATGGTGCATTTGTCCAGGAGGAGATAGATGAGCAAATAAACATAGAAGCAGATCTTCCAGTTTACTTTTATTCTTAACCCTGACAACTCTTGACCTTCTTTATCAAGCAACTGCTGTGCTAGAGGACTCAGGCTGAATTGGGCACAAGTAGTACTTTTTGTAATCCTGATGTCCTTTTTGTCTCTTTAGGTCTGTGAAAGCCTGCCTTTCTCAGATGGACAGTAAGGCTCAGTGGGTGCTGATGGGACACGACACTCTTGGTTTTCTATCTGATATAAAGATATAAGCAAGAGCACATAAAGAGCTCAGAAACACTTTCCAATTCATTAACTTAGAGGCTGCCTCTGGAAAGCTGGGCTAAACTGACATTCCTAAATAGATATCTGCACTCTTGACCCAACCTCAGAGCAGCATGACTTGGGACTTGCCTGAGAAAAATGCAGTTCATCACCATTTCTCACCCAGGCAGAGCAGGTGCATCTGTTCATATTGTCAGTTACCATGTTTTCTCAAGCACTGTTTTCACTGGGGAGGGTGGAGGAGGGAAGATCTAGGATCTCTTGGAATGGGGACCTCCTACACATTAGATAGCTAATTTTATTGGTATTCTCTGATCCCACTGGACATGTCTTTTATTTTATAGACGCTTCTACAATGGCTGACACAAAGAGAGCTTGAAGGACTGGAGGCAGTGGTTTCACAGACCCAGTTGTACAACACAGAATCCCATCTAGAAGAGAGGAAGAGTTAAAGGAAAAAAGCAGGAATTTAAGTAATGCCTTACCTCTTGAGGCTGTCTTCCTTGCAGATTTACACAGTGGCAGCAACAGCACCATGACAGCTGACATTTCACCTCCCTGAGGTATCAACATACTTTAATCTGTATTTTCCAATCTTATTTTAATTTAAGCACCATCTCAATATCTTTACAAACCCCATCAATATTGTTTTCATTTATGCAAAAATAATCCATGGAAATTTGCATGTGCCTTTAGCTCTGTGATTTTCCCAGTTTATTTAGAATCATGGAACATTTTAGGGTGGAAAAGACCTCTGAGATCATCAAATCCAACTGCTAACCCAGCACTGCCAAGTACACCATTAAACCATGTTCCTGAGCACCACATCTACATACCTTTCAAATACCTCCAGGGATGGTGACTCCATCACTTCCCTGGGCATCCTGTTCCACAGCTTGACAAATGTTTCCATGAAGAAATTTTTCCTAACATCCATCTCCTTTTGCAACTCGAGGTAATTTCCTCTCACTGTGTTGCTTGTTACCTGGGAGAAGAGACTCACCCCCACTTGCCTACAAGCTCCTTTCAGGTAGTTGTAGAGAGTAATGAGGTCTCCCCTGAGCCTCCACTTCTCCAGGCTAAACAACCCCAGCTCCCTCAGCTGCTCCTCATCAGACTTGTGCTCCAGCCCCTTCACCAGCTCCACTGCCCTTCTCTGAACATGCTCCAGCACCTCAATGTCCTTCCTGCATTGAGAGGCCTGGAACTGGACACAGGACTCGAGGTGCAGCCTCACCCGTGCCCAGTACAGGGAGACAATCTCTTCCCTCGTCCTGCTGGCCACACTATTGCTGATACAGGCTGGGATGCCATTGGCCTTCTTGGCCACCTGGGAACACTGCTGGCTCATGTTCAGCCAGCTTCTACTTTGTTGTAGTTTTTCTCATTGGCACTTTTAGTCTATGAATCAAGAAATTATTAAGAAATACTTCTTTCAGTTACCCAGTGGTCACAAGTTCAAGGCTGTTTGGATCCATCCCGACAGAAACAGTCTCCCTGTGCTCTATGCATCTCTGTTAGCAACATCAGGAACTCATTTAGGAACAAATTTAGAGTAGATGCAGCACATCATCATGCATGTTGTTATCTGACACAAACAAAGAGTTCAATATACAAAAATTCTCTTTTTAGATCTTCTCCCAACTAAGCCATCCATGACTAGTAATGAGGTATTTTCTTTGTTCTTGCAACTGGCTGGGGGTTTCATGGCTCTTTTGCTGCCGTGACAAGTGGTTTTGAAACTTACACGAAGGTGTTCAAATTAGTGTTGCAAATCAGTTGATAATTCTGTACATTATTAAGTGTTCCATAATGATGAAACCTGTGGTAGTAGCAGATAAGCTTTTATGATTAATTTTAATTTTCAAAAGCAAATGCCTGATACAGGCAGTCTCACAATTCTAAATTAGGTTCCCAGTTCCTCACATCTACATTTTTTGATTAATTTTGGGTTCATACTTTTTAATTTTTGACTGTAAATTACTACGACCAAGCTTTAAAAAAATCAAGCCTTAAAAGGTTGAAGCCCAAACACTCATAAACTGCTGTTCCCTCTACCAAACACGGTCTTTCACTGTCAAGTATGTACACAGATATGAGAGAATTCCCTTCTGAAAAAGTTGCACCTAGAAGGGTACTATTGTACAAATTTTCCTGTCTCAGTCTTTACAGATAAAAACTAAAATCCTGGAATAATTGCAACTAAATTCTACAGAAAATATTTCAGGAAAACATGTTATAATAAATTATGCAAAAGAAATAACATTGTTTAGAGAAAATATTTAATATAAGACTGAGCTTGTAAAACTGTATTGTTTTACACTCATCCATATATTCTCTTGTGCTGAATTTCTATTGTTGCTACCCACTCGGCTTATGGAACATAATCACTAGAATGGTCTTACAACAAAAGACTAGAATTCAGCTAGAGATACTAAGAATAAAGACAAAAATAATTTCATCTAGTTTATTTTGTAGGTAAAAACATCACTAACTTTTTGATCAAATACAGCCGATATAATTTAGTGTATTATTTCCCCCAGTTATACTGTAAGCTACATTGTATAGCAGCTATGATGTTAAAAGAAGCTTAGCACATACATGGAAAGGTGTGAGTAGAAATATAAATAATATAAATATGTACTTTCTTAACCAAAGTGTCCTAAAGAAAAGCTGCAGAAACAAAGGATGGCATCAAATATTTCCGGATATTCCCATCATCTATGTACAAGAGACCTTATAGTCCACATGTAAACTCTTTCTTTCCACTACAGTTTTTCCATGTTCATCCTCCAGCTTCTGGCTTGTGTTACATCAAGCTTGTGTTACTCCTCACCAAGTCCAGGAGCCTGTCTCTGACAGCATCCACTAACAAATACTGAGGCAAAGTATATGCTCAGGGCAGCTGTACAGTATCAGAGAATCTGATCCAAAAGTGATGCAGTTATACCTAATGCCCTTTGAGAGGTATATTTCTTCTGTGAATTCATTCAGTTGCCTTTTTAAACAAATAATTAGTATCTATAACATCCTTCAGTAAGTAGTCCTACAGCTTAAGTACCCAATATGAATAGTCAGCTTGCTTTGCTATCTTCCTATCTTCCTTTGATGCCTACCTAATAATTACTAACATCTGCTTTGCTTTTTAGATCTTGTTTAGTACTGGGCTGACTCTGTGTATGTGGCTGTGTTAGGTTAGGGTTTTATTTCCCTTATGTACATAATTTTCAGTCATCTGCACTGAACTCTGAATTGCTTTTATTATTGCTTTTGTTTGTTAGCCCAAAGAGCTCTTGTTATTAAATGTTTGCTCTCACTGGTAAGTACACATATCTGATCAATTTGCTTCCTGTCTCCTTATTTAGTTAAATGATGGAGCCCTGTGAGCTTTTCTCTTTACATGTTATCCACCCATCTATTAGTCATTGTCAAGTCTCTCCTTTGACCTCTGTTCAGCTTACAACATCTTTCTTCAATTACAGTCACCAGAACTAGACACAATATTCTCCTGGTGATCACAACAGTGTCAAAACAGGTTGAGTGCTTTTACTCAATACGTCCCTCTTCCATGTCCAAGGATGCCATTAGCTCCTTTGGCCACAGCTTCACAGTGGAAATTTGTGTTCAGCTATCATGATCCTAAAGGCTCTTTTAGAGATACTGTTTTTTGAATCTCCCATCCTAAAACTATAGCATACACTTTTCCCCACTTAATTGAATTACGTGCTCCTGACATAAATACACTGATTTAACATACCTGTGGCATTCAGTGACGCAACATAGGGTGAGGGAGAAGGGAAAGGAAGATTGGAATGACACCTCAGATCAACCAGGCCGATAAATGTTACATACTTGTCATGAGGTTGCCCTTGGGAAGTCAATTCTTGCAGGGTCATGAATTAATGCGTTATTTAGCAATGCTGTTACTCTAGCAGCCTGCTGCTTGCTGTGGCAAGGTTTGTCCGTGGCACTACAGGAGGGGATCTTTGGCCACTTCTCACATCTGCATGTCCCACTGCCCATAGAATTGGGATTGATGGAGGCTCTAGGAGGAATCTGAGCAGGACAACTGAAAGAGATGAAAGGGAGCAAATTTAAAGTTGCGTTTTTCTCATGGCATTTAATTCTTGAACAAGTACAGTGCTTTGTGCAGCTGCATATTCTGATATAAAGCACAGCCTTGGATTTCCTGACTGTGGCACATTTGAATGGTAATCAGGCAGTCATGGGGCACAGTCTGCTCTTGGTGTTGTGGCCTAAAAAGAGAAGTAGAATGAGACAGTGAGAATTAAAATAAGAATTTTACATGCTTAATTATGCTTTAAAATAAGTGATAATCATACATATGTATTCCAGATAATATTAAACCAAATATCTGGTAGATTTTTGAATATAAAAGAAACAAGACTTGATCTAAATTCCATCACAGTCAATTAAAAATATTCCAGCAAAATCACAGCTTCTGTAATAGGGACTGGTTTGGTATTTGCCGTAAATATCACAGAATCACAGAATCATTTAGGTTGGAAAAGACCTTTAGGATCATTGTGACCAACCTTAAAGTATCAGTAGCACTCAGCAACATTAGGTTAGGACAAGAACACAAAGTGTAACCTTAGGATGACTGACATATTTCTCAAGAAATGTAAATGAAACAAATTTCATGGTTAACCTGAAAAGTCTTGGAGGAGGTGGTGTTGATTCCTCAAGATTCAGTGTCTCAACACATTGAATTTTCTCAATCTCAGTTGATCCCCTCTTGCTTCCTTTTCTCTAAGAGAGAAAAACACAGCAGACTGTAAACTAATGCTAACACAATATAAAGTATTCTAGTTTGATGATTTTGTACAGTTTTATATTTCAAACTCTATATTCAGGCTTGTTAAATTTTGAAAGAAAGGTAGTAAAAACCTCCTTGGTCTACTACTTGCATCTAGTATATGGAACAAATTCCTTTCTAAATCAGCTACAAAAATAACAGGGCACAGCCCTACATCTGAGAAAGCATCTGCTGCAGCTGCAGGAGTATAGGGCAGAAGGGGAGACTAAGAGGAGAAGAGGGAGGAGTTAAGAAGAGAACACCTTAAGTGCAAACCAAAAGCCTGGCTGTGACATTCATAATTTTTTATGGTAATGGAGCTTATTCTCACTGAGCTTCCCTGCAGTTTTGGAATGGGATGTAACTGACAGGATGAGTCCTAAAGTATGAAAAGGAGCAAAAAAATTAAAGTTGCCTGAAACATATATTTGCATTCCCAACAGGAAATCTTTTGAAAAGCCACCCTTTTGTGATATACAGTCACTCTTTAGGAAACAAGGATAGTTTAACCATCTGCTTCGTGCAGCTGAGGGATGAGATTCTGAACTAATTATGCCTCATACAAGTAACTTCTGACGCCAGTTATTTACATCAGTTCAGAACGAAGCCTCAACGAGGAAAACATCCCTATTCAAGACAGTGTGTAAACATATGTCAATGTTAATTACTTGCCTAAATTCTCTTTGGAAGGATGCAAACAGATGCTCAATAGCAAGCACAACTGTGAGGGTTGTTCTGAATATAAACACTCGTAAGCCTGTGGGTAAGTGTTTTCTTGAACTGAAACTAGAATTTTATATCCTATAATTCTACTCAAAACAAAGTACACATATTATTCTAATACATAATATCCAATCAAGTTTCACAGAAGAAAACTGGAGTGGCACTGTACAATCTTAAACAGTTTACTTAAAAAATTATTTCTTACCCTTTTGTCATGTTCGTAAGAAATGTTTGTCTTTGACAGAACAAACAACCCTTTCTTGTAATTTAATGACCACATCACTTCACAGAATCGCAGAATATTCTGTGTTGGAAGGCACCCACAAGAATCATCCAGTCCAGCTCTTAAGTAAATGGCCCATACAGGGTTGGATCCCACAACCTTGGCATTATTAGCATCATGTTCTAACAAACTCAGCTCATCTCAGGGTCTTGATCTGGGTTATTTTTTATTTCTGTTGTGACTTCTTTAAAAGCGGTTCTTCTAGAATTTTTTTTCCTCCATCATACTTCCCTAAAATAACATCACAATTACTTTTATTACTGCTATTAATTAATATAACAACACCAACTACAGAGACGGTAAGATTAATATATTTTCATTGTCCTCTATAAGTTTTAAAAAAATTTATAGTAATACATGTATATAAAGGATGTGTTTAATACTGTTTAAACAAGTAAGGTTGTTTAGCTTATTCACTTGGTAGAAACAATCATAGCATACAAAAATTAAGGTACAGATATACTGTAGTTCTAAACAAGGCATGTCTGTTGCTTTATCACCTGAGGATCTCTCCTTTTAAAGCCATGCACTCTTTCTGGCAAAGAGCACAGACTGCTTTATCCACAAATGTATTACATCTGCAGCATGACACAAAAGTCATTACAGCAGCTAAGAAAATAACAACAAAAAAAGAAAACCCTTCTATTTACAGACCAGGAAAACATATCTAGTGCTGACTATGTGTTCCCTGCACTGAAATTTCTCATTTCTTTCTTTCAAATGAAACAAATGCACGTTTACGAAACTGTGATATGTAGAAAGGATTAAAAATTAAAAATGTTCTTGCAGGATGTATATATACACATATATTTACATCTAAATATTTTTTCCTAGTCTTGGTAATCATAGAGTAGAAAATGCCAAGAAGGATGAAATCCATCATATCTCTACAAGTCTAATATGGCTTCAGGTTACCTTACTCAAGTGTGAAGGAAGTAGGTCATGTCCTCTGCTCTGTATTTCTGGGGCTCCACAAGGAAGCAGTGTGCTAAGTACCCCCCTTTGTTATGTTCCTGTTCACTACTGAGAGTCCAGCAGAAAGAGAAAATTTGCATGAGGCTCATCACACTCACTTGATCTATCCACTGAATCCTACCTGAACCCACAAAGTAGCAAGTATCTTGTAGAAACACCGTGAAGAAGAAAAAGGGGGATGGGAGGTGGGGGGGCTTTGCTCATACTCTGCATGGGTATCTGGCTATGCTGTCTTTGCAAATAAAATATCAGATTTGATAGAAAATATAAAAATATAAAGAACTTGTCATTCCCACAGCAGAGCAGTAAGAACTCCTGTGTTTTTTAAGAGCATATGTGGTTTTGTTTCCTTACACTATGAAACATCCAATCTTTAGCTCCAACCCACTTAAGTTCAGGGGACTCATTGGAGTACTGGAGGCCAGGAAAAAGGATAAGTGAGATGGAATTTCAGCTACTTTATTTTAAAGCATTGTTTGCAGGTCTTTTTTCTGGGGTTGCCACTGTGTGATCTTCACAAAATTTCTTAGCCTACTGCTGCTTGAATCAATCAGAGCAATTGCCTGAACTACCAGGATTGATAACATTGCTCATGTAAGATTAGATGTCTAATCCACATCAGCTCTAACACTGTGACCACTGAGAGCTCAGAGAGGACCAGCTGAAGCCACATGGAATGACTACAATCTACTCTTAGTGGGCCTTAGAAAAAAGGCCAAGTACTTCCATTTCTACTCGTGGAAACACTAATGAAATGATCTCTGGATTTGACAAAGTTGTGCTAAGAAATGAATAGCGACAAAAAAAGTATGTAATTTCATTTAAATATTAGAACCTTATGTTCTTTAAACTGTACATTGCAACACTTATTAATAAACACTATTAAAAATGCAGGGATATAAAATATATAAAATATAAGTTATGAAATAATTAGTAAGTGCCTACAAGTTTTATTAAATATATTTACAAAATAAAATTATAACTAGAGTTAAATATAAAAGTTAAATTTTTTTTTCTTGATATGGGAAAAGACACATACTCTTTGTTCTAATGTGTCTGAAAACAATATTCTGTTAAATTTAGGTACTCAGTGTCTTTGGATATGTTCTTGCATAGTAAATTACATACTTGATCACCTTGTGATCTAATAGCATGCCCTCTGCCTCTGTCTGTGGACCTGTGGCAAGCACGCAACCTAATTCTAGGATGCAACAGAAGGTTAAAAGCACAGGCTAAAAGAAACACCTAAAAGACTCAAAAAAGCCTATAAAAGTATTACATCCCTTGGTTCTCTGAAACAGAATACTGAGTATTCAGTCTTTGAGGGAGCAGTTGCTTATATTGCAGCATATATAAGCCACTTCATTACTGGAGTGCTCTGGCTGAAGTTTAAAAAAATGTTATCCAGATTTTGACTTCTCATTACAATTCAAGAGAGAAAAAAATCCAACCTCTAAAAAAAATCTTGACAGTGAAACTAAACTACTTCCTGGCCAAATCCACTGCACAATGCTCTTCTTCTTTCACCTGCGGAAAAGAAATAACAACAGCTGAAATTATACCAAATGAAATGTTCAACTCTTTTTATTTGTTTGGTTTTGGGGTTTTTTTCCATTTTTAAATGAGGTTACATCTCCAGGAATAAAATACGTCTGTGTTGCACTGCCTTTTCCCTGTGCAGGCTGCCCTTCCTCTGTGTGCAGGCTCACTTTGCTGAGTCAGTCCGTGCTTGCACTGACCACCCGGCTGTGCTGAGGGGATGGATGATCCTTCAGGGCAGAAAGTGCAGAGAGTGGCCTGTGCCGTGTACAAATTTCTGCCTACCTAGAGAATTGCAACCTCCCTTTTTACTGGATGTAGCTCAGTTCCTTCAACTGTGAAATCTAATTTCTCCCTGGAAGAAAATAAAATGCCATGTGGAATTAGCTGCAAACATTTGTTCCATATGATTTGAAGAGACATGAAAGATCTAAGGATCTTTGATTATTTTTCCACGCTTGAAACTGTGCTTGTACCGAGGATTGTTGCATTTTCTTTGCTTTCTGTAACACAGAGACAAATAAAAAAGGTTTTTTACTCCAACAGATCTTAGAAACAGGACTTGGAAACTTCCCCATGTTTCAGAAAGAGGGCTGTTGTGAGACAGTTCTATTGAGTTCATAGAATCATAGAATATCCTGAGTTGGAAGTGATACACAACAATCATCAAGTCCAACTCCTGGGAACAAGCAAATGGGGCTAGGACATGCTGGAGGCTAGAGGTACTATCTCTAGCATTCTCTAGCTGCTGCTTCTGTTTCCTTCTCTAGTTTGGATGTGGTGGTCACAATAAGCATTTTCTAATGGCAGGCTGTAATGCAGGGTACTCTGACTCCTTCCCTCCCGGTAACCTTTTTCTTCAGGAGACTGAGCAGATGGAAAACTAGGATGGAAAAGGAGAGCAGTTATGACAAGAGAAGCTTGGAGAAGAACCTGGCTAATTTATGGTGTCTGGGGAAATAGCCATGTCAAAAGCATGGTTCTTCACTCAGCTCAAAATGCTGGCAAGGTGGAGCTCCTGACTCTGAAAGACACAGAAACATGTCCTTCACCCAGATGAAGTAAACAAACTCGTTGGGAAGTTCTTGTCATTGTGGCTTGGCTCTATATCCTCAACAACATGAGGCAGCAAGGGTAGTCTGGGGAGGGTGTGTGTGTGGATGTGGAAGGACCAAGGCAAGATGGTGGGGTGTGGTGGGCTGGGGCAGAGCAGGGATAGTGACAGCCCTGGTGAAGAAGTCTGGACAGCAGAGTGCAATGTAGGGTGGGGGAGATGGGAGAGAAGACGAGCTAGTTACAGGAGCAGCTGTCTACAGCAGGCAGGGGCTGTGGGTGGGGGTAAAGGCAGGGCCTTGGGCATCTGGTGGGAAAGTAACAGAGTCCTGGGTTATGCAACTGGCTGGGCAGAAGTAGGGGTCGAAGCAGGCAGGAGAGGCACCAGGCAAAGGGCACTTGTCAGTCAGGACAAGCTGTTGCAAAACTAGAATACTCTCATTCTGCTATGTGGGCATCCTTGAGGAAAAAGATTCCACAATCTCCCTCCACCCCTGCCCCTCAGGCAGGCCTACTGGTGTCAGGACACTTCAGCAAGCTGTGTTGGCATTCCCTGTACTAAATATGGCCAAAGACCACTTAATTTCATAGAAATACACTCTATTTTTACTATACCTTTTATCATTAATGCCTTTTACAGGCATTCTTCCATGCAAGTTCAGAGATATGTTTTTCCTTCATTTCAGGTGAACTACTTCAGCTCAGTGAGCTGTTCATTCAGAGCTCTGAAGCAACATAGAATTTGGAATAATACAAATTTTCTTTCCAGTTTCAAATAAAGTAGATGTAGAGGGCAAGAGCTACTAATTGTATAACTTTCAAGTCATGGATAGACATGCAAAAACAGTCATCTCTACTTACTTACAAATTCTATTAGCCTTCCTGGTGAGCCATAAAATTTAAGTTTGAATGTTTTGATAAACTGACCTTTTTACAATCCACCACACTCGAAATACAATTTAGTTAATTAAACAAGTTGCAAAGCACTATCTTGGTGTTTATAATTTATGATTAAGGTGATTCTAACTCAGTGCATAAAAAGCTATCTGAAATTAGACAAGCAATCTATTTTAATATGACAAAATGTAAAGATAAAAAGTTCAAATGCATTTCCATCAAACCATAGTATTTAAATATCGATATTTATAATACATCCTTTTGCTATTCATTTTAACAAGTCATATTTAGGCTAAGGGATGGAACAGTTTCCTGACCCTGCTGTAATGGAAACCAGTGAAGGAGACAACTGCAGTACACATGGAAAATGTAATAATTCTAATCTTTTCTGTCTTCTAATTTTAGAACCTAATTTTAAATGGTGCTTTAAATTATCCTGCATTTCAGCCCTTGCTTTTCAGTCAAAAGGGCATTGTGTATCTTTCCTCACATTACAAGACGTGCAAAATTATACTTACTATTTTGTATGTTAAATGGCAGTCTAATTTCATTCCATACAGCAAATTTGTGTTCCCCCACTTCCCCTGAAGCTCTCTCATTCCATCAATCTTTTTTCTGTGCCATTAAAAAACTGCTGAAGGACAGAACTTTATGTATACAGGATAAAAACCCAAAACTACTTTTTTGGGGCATGTCACAATAATTAATTGTTTATAGAGGGGTTATTAGTGGAATCTAGCCTCAAACCCCTTAAAGTATGATCACTGAAGTGTGTTTAAACATGCATTTCATTTACTATGGGTTAGGATTAGCCATTTGTTTTCGATGTACCAGCTGACTTCTATGTGAAGTGGGATATTATTCCATAGGGTGACAAACTGCAATCCTACTTGTTCATGTCGGGATGCAGTTGCCCACAGATGAACCTATGCTTTGAGTAAGAGGTTGAATTCAATGACTCCTAAAAGTGTCTTTCAAAACTAGACTATTCTGTGCCTTTTTTGATTGTTGCCAACATTATGCAAAGAGTATATCTTGTAGGAATAGGTGAAAGTCTGTTTTCTTATTTGAAGCTCTCATCAGCCCTGCACATGGTGGCATAAAGCTGCAACTGAGGTCCAGACCTCTCCTACAGACGTTTTAGGAAGCAAGTCCACGTTACTGTCATTTGAGCACTACTTTACTGTTTCTGTGACCTGAGCTCCCTCTGAAAGAAGTATGGACTTAATATATCTAACTTGCATAATCTGTTACCCTGATAATGTGTCTTTAGATCACTGAGGTTTCATAGTATTTTTTAAGCAGTCACTTACCTAGACAAGTAAAGTTAACATTATAAATTATATACATTTGTAATATATATATCAGGTAATAAATAATTTCTTCATATTATTGCCAAGCAATCAAAGTATCTGTCAGGTATCAAACGACCATAAGATTAAAAACAAAGACAGATTTAAGGCTTATTTTTTTTATCACCTTCAAATCTCTGTATTTTTTACACAAACTTGAAAGCTAGTTTTAACATAATGAGAACTGATTATTTCCACATACTTACCTGCTGGCTGGCAGTGACACAGCTCTGTGGCCAAGGCCCTGGAGTTCCTGGTGGACAGCAATGAATGTGACTTGAGGGGAGGGGAGGGAAGGAGAGGGGAGGGATGGAGAGGGGAGGGGAGGTTTGGGGGAAACTAGTTCCATTCTTCATATATGAAATTAATCAG